GGACAACCGTTTAACTGAAGTAAAACGGGTTTTCCCCTTGCTATGGATGTCTGCCTAGTTCAGTTCAGCCACATTCCGCTACAGTTCGCCTTTATTATCAGTTCGAAATGGGGTGGTTCCATAATACCCGCAGTGTTCCATAATACCACCTTCTCCTCTATTCTTTTTCCAGGGGCAAGCAAATACGAAAGCTGGATGGCAGAGCAGCGAAATACTGCTTTGCTTACCGACGAATGTCTCTTTTCGTCGTTGAACGATGGTGAGAAACGAGTTATTTGTCGGACTGAAGTAAAATAACACGCATCTGGCGTAACTAACTCGACGAAGTAATTCTCCCGCGAGTGTAATGGTACAGTATGTGGAACACGACGTGCCTAAGAGGTCGGAAGCATTTATTTTCTTAAAGGAAACTAAAATGCCACTGCCTAGATAGAAGTATTAGCTGACCATTTAATCCTAATTGCCGAACTTTAATACGACAACGATAGACGAGGGCGACTTATCGACAAGATGGAGCTCCGTGCCATAAACTTTCAATAACTAATGAAGTTTTATGTAAAAGTCGTCTCCACCCTCAAAATTAAGCTTTTTACCATTTTATAACAATTAATAATGTAAAAAGCTTTCAAAATAAAATCTCGTGACGGGTGGCGCCGCACACAATTTTAACTTTATTGCCGGGAAAGTTACGCAACTCGTTGCTGGATTTTTTTTTATTAAGAATTGTTTTCGAGATTATTTCTATTAGAATTCTAAGAATGAAATAAAAAGCGTAATTAATAATAAAATTTCAAATTATATTTGTATATCTTTAAATACTGTAACTTTTTATACTATTAAATATTTTAAAATACAGTGATACCCCGAACTTACGCGATAGGTGGGACCGAGCGACAACCGCGTAAGTCGGGGTATAATTTCGCAATTTGTGTAAAATTCAAGTCGGACGTATGTAAGCTAATAAATGTTCTCGTTAATCTTATCTCGTCTTTTGATTCGTTCACGGTTACAACAAATCACCACATAGAGTCTCTCGAGTCTCCGTAGATATAACAAACACAGAAATAAATAACACAAAATAAATTGTAGCTATGCGTCGATTCCGCGCGACACGTCCGAACATGTAAGCCGAACAATAGTGAGTAATCGAGAGTTGCGTGGCGCTCAAACAAAAGACGAATCGACGAGATTTGAAAATCGCGAAACTCCGGGTTCGCGTAAGTCGGGGTATCACTGTACTTAAATTAGATTTTTAAGAGCGTACGATTGGAAACATGAAAACTTTTCATAATTTTGTCCATAAGCGTATAGTCCATCGACTTCTTGAGATATTCCTCGATGATTTAAAGATAATTACGCCGATAGTTGATTATTTACTTAACCATGAAAAAAAGCCTACGTAAGCTAATTCAACTTTCGAAATTCAAGAATCGCCCGTTAATTTTTTCTGCCGATTCACCTAATTACTTTTGAATCGAATGAAAATTTTCTAAATCATCGGGCCACGGGTGGTCGAGTAGCTGAAACCCCCGATCACCGGTAGTCGCATCTCAAGTTTTCTGAGTTTTCTGCACTTGTCTGACACGAAAATAAAAGCCAGTCTCCCATAGGAATTCTTTCCGGAAGACGTTCCCTTCCTCGGCCGATGGCGCATCTGTTACGACGCCTTATTCCGTCATTCCACTCCACTCCTAAGAGGCACAAACGAATTCTGGGTGCAGAAAGTAGTTTTAACTTCCGGCACGCGTTGTTACAAATAAAACTTCTTGTCCGACAGACAATTAATTCCATCGAATGACGAATCTATAAGATTAGAGGCGAAGAAAAAAAACAAAAACGAATAGTCGAATAATATCATAGGCCTAACCTTATTAACAACATAAAAATGACCTTTGGATGAAGGTAAATAAATACCCAATTTTTGTATTTAACTATGTAGTTGATGGCGGTATTTGCAATCGCAAGAAAATTCCTTTACCCAAAAATTTTAAGTAAAATAAAAATTTACGAGAAGAATTATAAAACTTGCGTGATCGATAGTTGACCGAGAATTGCATAAATGAAAATAAATATATACAGAAAAAAAGCGGAGAAACCGGTTGCGATAGGCACGGAAAATGTACTACACAACAAAACTCGAGTTTCTGTTTACTCGTTGATCGTACGTGCATCGAATCGGCATTATCGCAGAACTTTTCACAGGTACTGTAAGATTTTCCATTCTGTTTTTAGTTAAAATTTTCTGTTTCCTAAATTTAAACAAATTTTAGTTGTAAAGTAATAACGGCACGAAAACACAATTCTCTTGACGTTTAGCTGGTTTTTGGTTAATTATTAATATCCCCTTTAATTATCGAAATCGAACTGATGACGGTTTCCCCAACGTCACGCGGGAAGAATGCCCAACTGATAAAAACTCCGTTAGAACTATATTATTCATAAATATTTACTTTAAATATAAATATTTCTTTTTATGATTTTGTTCTCCTTATTGTTAACGTCGCGTTTCGGTCTTTTCGAACAAAACAGCGAATTTTAATTTCAATTTTAAATTTAAATCCAAACCTTATGACGTATGCAAAAGCAACGATAATCCCGTAAATGTCTAATAACTCATTTTAAGTAATGTAAAAATTTTTAATAAAATCTTTCAATAAATGAATATAAATAAAGAAATTCGATGCGATTCGACCTTCCACGATAAATGCTCGAACAACCCCTAAGTCTCTGGAACGGAATACGTGCACCAGTGAACCTACAACTACACGATTTATATTTTAAAAATAATTAAATTCACTTAGCATTCGAAACTTGTGAATTTTGAAAAAAACAAATTTGCTGATTAAATATGGACAACCGTTTAACTGAAGTAAAACGGGTTTTCCCCTTGCTATGGATGTCTGCCTAGTTCAGTTCAGCCACATTCCGCTACAGTTCGCCTTTATTATCAGTTCGAAATGGGGTGGTTCCATAATACCCGCAGTGTTCCATAATACCACCTTCTCCTCTATTCTTTTTCCAGGGGCAAGCAAATACGAAAGCTGGATGGCAGAGCAGCGAAATACTGCTTTGCTTACCGACGAATGTCTCTTTTCGTCGTTGAACGATGGTGAGAAACGAGTTATTTGTCGGACTGAAGTAAAATAACACGCATCTGGCGTAACTAACTCGACGAAGTAATTCTCCCGCGAGTGTAATGGTACAGTATGTGGAACACGACGTGCCTAAGAGGTCGGAAGCATTTATTTTCTTAAAGGAAACTAAAATGCCACTGCCTAGATAGAAGTATTAGCTGACCATTTAATCCTAATTGCCGAACTTTAATACGACAACGATAGACGAGGGCGACTTATCGACAAGATGGAGCTCCGTGCCATAAACTTTCAATAACTAATGAAGTTTTATGTAAAAGTCGTCTCCACCCTCAAAATTAAGCTTTTTACCATTTTATAACAATTAATAATGTAAAAAGCTTTCAAAATAAAATCTCGTGACGGGTGGCGCCGCACACAATTTTAACTTTATTGCCGGGAAAGTTACGCAACTCGTTGCTGGATTTTTTTTTATTAAGAATTGTTTTCGAGATTATTTCTATTAGAATTCTAAGAATGAAATAAAAAGTGTAATTAATAATAAAATTTCAAATTATATTTGTATATCTTTAAATACTGTAACTTTTTATACTATTAAATATTTTAAAATACAGTGATACCCCGAACTTACGCGATAGGTGGGACCGAGCGACAACCGCGTAAGTCGGGGTATAATTTCGCAATTTGTGTAAAATTCAAGTCGGACGTATGTAAGCTAATAAATGTTCTCGTTAATCTTATCTCGTCTTTTGATTCGTTCACGGTTACAACAAATCACCACATAGAGTCTCTCGAGTCTCCGTAGATATAACAAACACAGAAATAAATAACACAAAATAAATTGTAGCTATGCGTCGATTCCGCGCGACACGTCCGAACATGTAAGCCGAACAATAGTGAGTAATCGAGAGTTGCGTGGCGCTCAAACAAAAGACGAATCGACGAGATTTGAAAATCGCGAAACTCCGGGTTCGCGTAAGTCGGGGTATCACTGTACTTAAATTAGATTTTTAAGAGCGTACGATTGGAAACATGAAAACTTTTCATAATTTTGTCCATAAGCGTATAGTCCATCGACTTCTTGAGATATTCCTCGATGATTTAAAGATAATTACGCCGATAGTTGATTATTTACTTAACCATGAAAAAAAGCCTACGTAAGCTAATTCAACTTTCGAAATTCAAGAATCGCCCGTTAATTTTTTCTGCCGATTCACCTAATTACTTTTGAATCGAATGAAAATTTTCTAAATCATCGGGCCACGGGTGGTCGAGTAGCTGAAACCCCCGATCACCGGTAGTCGCATCTCAAGTTTTCTGAGTTTTCTGCACTTGTCTGACACGAAAATAAAAGCCAGTCTCCCATAGGAATTCTTTCCGGAAGACGTTCCCTTCCTCGGCCGATGGCGCATCTGTTACGACGCCTTATTCCGTCATTCCACTCCACTCCTAAGAGGCACAAACGAATTCTGGGTGCAGAAAGTAGTTTTAACTTCCGGCACGCGTTGTTACAAATAAAACTTCTTGTCCGACAGACAATTAATTCCATCGAATGACGAATCTATAAGATTAGAGGCGAAGAAAAAAAACAAAAACGAATAGTCGAATAATATCATAGGCCTAACCTTATTAACAACATAAAAATGACCTTTGGATGAAGGTAAATAAATACCCAATTTTTGTATTTAACTATGTAGTTGATGGCGGTATTTGCAATCGCAAGAAAATTCCTTTACCCAAAAATTTTAAGTAAAATAAAAATTTACGAGAAGAATTATAAAACTTGCGTGATCGATAGTTGACCGAGAATTGCATAAATGAAAATAAATATATACAGAAAAAAAGCGGAGAAACCGGTTGCGATAGGCACGGAAAATGTACTACACAACAAAACTCGAGTTTCTGTTTACTCGTTGATCGTACGTGCATCGAATCGGCATTATCGCAGAACTTTTCACAGGTACTGTAAGATTTTCCATTCTGTTTTTAGTTAAAATTTTCTGTTTCCTAAATTTAAACAAATTTTAGTTGTAAAGTAATAACGGCACGAAAACACAATTCTCTTGACGTTTAGCTGGTTTTTGGTTAATTATTAATATCCCCTTTAATTATCGAAATCGAACTGATGACGGTTTCCCCAACGTCACGCGGGAAGAATGCCCAACTGATAAAAACTCCGTTAGAACTATATTATTCATAAATATTTACTTTAAATATAAATATTTCTTTTTATGATTTTGTTCTCCTTATTGTTAACGTCGCGTTTCGGTCTTTTCGAACAAAACAGCGAATTTTAATTTCAATTTTAAATTTAAATCCAAACCTTATGACGTATGCAAAAGCAACGATAATCCCGTAAATGTCTAATAACTCATTTTAAGTAATGTAAAAATTTTTAATAAAATCTTTCAATAAATGAATATAAATAAAGAAATTCGATGCGATTCGACCTTCCACGATAAATGCTCGAACAGTCTACGGGAAAAACTAATCGGATAAACGTGTGTGACGTCAAACAGATGGAAGTAAATTACATTAGTGAAAAATAAATATTTAAATGTAGGATTGTACGATCGTACCGACTTATAATCTATATAATAATAATAATAATAATGTTAGGAAATTCCTGAATACAGACTTATTTAATTTTTGTTTTTGGTTGCTATGCCTCGACTCTGATCCGGCATAGTACACAGCCACCGGTATCAACCGAGTATGACCAATAAAATAATAATAACAATAATAATATAAAGGAAACAATTAAGAAAATCGTTTTAAAAAGTATTAATTCGCTTAATCGTTTCACCAAATTAATATTTTTAGTTTTAATACTTACAAACTGTAAATAATATTAAAGTGTAAATTTTAATATTTTGTCAGCGGCTTTAGGTAAAAATATCGTATTAGTTTGTTTATTCCTTTAAAGTATGTGTACCTCGGAAGGGAGAAGACAGAATAAAGATCTTATTTAACAATTGGAATCATTTAAAAATAAATGTTACGAAACAGTCTTTGTTGAACGACCCCAAATCTGTTTATGGTTTTATTCCGTCGTAATTCTGAAATACTTAATGGTACAGTATAAGCTTTTCTTATAAGATATAAAAAAATGCTAGCTTCAAAAAGAAAAAAGTTTATCTAAACGAAATTGTATGAAACATTTGTTCAACGTAAAAGCAAGCTTTACTTTCGCGGCTGTTATGTACTGTACTGTACTCTGTACATAACGCAAGAAAGTATTGTAATAGTGCTCCTCCGAGTTTTTTTTTCAAATCAATACGTTCACGTGTCGAGAATTCCCGAACCGAAAAAAGTAAGTTTTCGGGATATGCGTGCGTGTAGGTAAACATTTATCAATATTTCGCTTAATACCTCACGATGGGGTAAACATTACTTAAGTAACGAAATTTGGCACGGAAACTTGTATATAAGGATGATATTAAATTTTGCAGGTTAAAGGTACTAAAGGGGTGGTCGGGTGTCATATCGTGCGTGGGGTCGGACTTAATGAAAATTTTACTCGTTATTAGCATTTACAATTTTTTTAAAAACTTGTCTCTACTCTCTAAAATAAATGTTTTGCCCTTGTTATGACGATTGATAATATAATAGTTAAATTTAATAAGATGACGTAACAGATGGCGCCACACACAGTGTTTTTAACTTATAGCTGATTCTTTTCGCCGAGAAAGTTACGCAACTCGTTGCTGGTGTTCATATAATTGGACGTACTTAATAAATACGAATACGTGGACGATAGCTCGAATGTCGTAATCTTTCATTATCAACCGGATTAAGATGTTCCCAAAAACCGACCAAAATAACTTTAATATTTTTTCTTGTATTTTCCACATCTGACACTAAAAAGCCAAAGATTAAGCAGCCAGTGTCAAAATATTATTTGTTAATATATCAGCTGTTTTTCCTATATTTATAATTTATTTTGTATACTAGTACATTCTATATATTAACAGGACTTATTATACTGGAATTATGGATGCAGATATTTAGTCTTACAGTTTAAAAATAATGTTCTTTATTAAGTTCACCTGATTTGTTTTTCCTATATTTCGGACATTTTAAACAAAAACATTCAATTCATTCCGACGA